TTAGATGTTTGTTTAGTAGCTGTTGACATGCTGTTCGGAAAAGTTTTGGGGATAACGCGGACTGAATTCACAACAATGCTGCAGTCCGCCAGGTGGCAGCACCGTGGAAAAGCGGCTGACAGCAGGTGGCATCACAGAAGAAAGGCCACACGCGACGTATGGCGTAGTGAAAGCGCTGTTTTTGCTTGGTGTGTGACGGCACACTGACATCAAGTCAAGGTCATTACAGTGGAAAATAGAAAACGTCATCTTCGTCAGGTCACGTGGAAGGTCACGTCAAAGACAACAACATGAGCAGATAAACATCCTGATTATTCTCCCTTGCAATATAAATTTTTATCTTCTTTCAATGTCATGCAACACCATTGTATTATTTACACCGCTGTCGCATTAGCAGGAGGATGTCAATGGTATGTCAGTATGGTGGCCAGAGCGTAGCTCCATCCAGTATATGTTGCAGAGTCAAAGGTCAAAATTTTGTTTAAATGTCATATCAAAATAGCAAGGATGATTCTACACCCTAGCCAACTTAAATACATGGTGAGTGCGCCTTTTGGCTGTCTTTAGGGGACCAAGGACCTCATTTTAATTCCAAACCCAAGCCGAATGGGAACAGGTCTATGCGGCGAAAAAGCACGTTATTGGCGACACTGGGTACCGGTGGTGTGTGATTAGGCTGCGTGTCTGGAAAAACAGAGGTGCGGGGTTCGACTCTCTGCAGTGCCCAAATAGCCTCTGCAGATGAGCGCGTCGTAAACCCCGATGGAAAGAATCGACCGTACGGAAGGGAGGACACATTTGTTTGATAGATGGCAGCACGAACAGACTAAACATGATGGCGTGTAGATGGCAGCACAGATCCATCGGCCGGTCGGCTGCGTGTAGATGGTACGGCAAGTTCGGAGAAAGTTGATCACCTGCCAGTGAACGACACTGATATCTACAGCGTGCAGCAAGATCACCAAATTACAGAATACCTTCGCCGTCAGCGGCTTGTTATTAAGCTCATTTTCACAACCCACCGATCAGCCATGATCCGTTGTTATGTGCAATAACGCTCCTTGCGATAACTTAAAGACGCTTACCTCTGAGCATTACGACAATGAATGAAAACGCCACGACATTTACCTCTGACCATTACGACAATGAATGAAAACGCCACGACATTTACCTCTGAGCATTACGACAATGAATGAAAACGCCACGACACATTTTGATGCACACAGATTATGGAAAGCGCATATAAAGAGGTGTTGACAGGCTCAGAGGTCAGGAAGTGGGTTCACTTTATCCATTTCCTCTTTCCGTGCTGGGCAAAGCTTCCCCCTCCCAGTTCTGGCTTGGAGGCTTCGTTTGATAATCAGGGAGAGGGTCCTGAATCTTATTTGGTTTGAACACATGGGGTATGCGCCTTCGACCTTATGCTATTTTTATGGTGCATACCGGGTTAGGATCACCAGGGCCTGCAAACCGGTGCACATCTCTAAAAAAGCATATTACTGATCATGTAAATTTGCGCCGAAAGAAAGTAACAAATTTTATTCGCCTGACCTTCTGGATTCTAGTGCTATTCACCGCAACGGAATTCATGGAAGCTTTTTCTTTGCAGTTACCCGAACCATTCCCAGTTGACAGCTCTATCTCCATCTTCTCATGCAACTTCGCTTCTTTCGCTTTTATCTATCTGTATACACCACTATTTCACAGAGCTCGCCTGGCCATTTTCGTGGCTGTTGTTTAAAGACATATTTTGCGGCTGCTGGATCCACGGTAAAGACCTGGATGGAAGGGTTAAGACCGAATATTTGGCGGAGTTTTGTGTCTGGCAACATCACGTCTGTCAATAAGTTTGTCTAACACACTACACAGCCTGATAAACATTCCGAAACGAAAATCCCTATTTACTTTTATTCATGCGGGGCGGACACGCAGCGTTACCGTGCGGGGCGGACACGTAGCGTTACCATGCGGGGCGGACACGTAGCGTTTCCATGCGGGGCGGACACGCAGCGTTACCATGCGGGGCGGACGCGCAGCGTTACCGTGCGGGGCGGACACGTAGCGTTACCACGCGGGGCGGACACGTAGCGCGACCACGCGGGGCGGACACGCAGCGTTACCACGCGAGGGGGGGGGGACACGTAGCGTTTCCATGCGGGGCGGACACGTAGCGTCCTCCAATTACATTCTCCCATCACGCGCATGTCCTCCCCCTCCCCTGGCCCGCCCGCCCCTGCTCCCCAGTGCAGTGCCGTGCCCGCTTCCAAGCCCAGTCATTGGTCTACTCTGACAGGACATCTGCAGCTGCGCTGTTTCCCGCCCGACGTTCCTCGTACGCACCTGCAGCTGGTATTCTCACAGCGACCACGCGCTCTGCTCCGGCCACTTCGAGAAGCTTATATAACAGGCCACCCCCACGGCCTACGCGAATCTATATAGCCTGGGGTCGGGACGGCCGTGGCGAGACAAGGCAACGCCAGTTCCGCCGGAGGCTGACCTAGTGCCGCCGCAATCTGACCTAGTGCCTCGTCATGACGTACCTCCTGCTGCTGGTGACGGTGCTGGTCGGCGGCGCTATGGCGGGCTGCCCGGACATCCCCACGCTGGCTGTGTTTGACATCGCCCAGGTGGGAGCGCGGTCCTCCTCAGGGGACATGCAGCTTCTCGGCTCGTGCGAGCGAGCGACAGCGTGCGGGCGGTTCTTGTGAGGTTTAAATGTCGCGAGCGTGCGCCGTACGAGAGCACTTCTTGGAACTGCTGTCTGAGCTTTTGATGTACAGGCGATAAGACACCGTGCATTTGTCTCCCAAGTGGATAATGACAGTTAACGATCTCTTATAGCTCCTTTTTGTACATGTATTTTCCGAGTAGGATGTTTACTTAATACGATGAGATGTTCTCGAACAGTCTCTGTCTTCCGGAGTTTCGTTCGTGACCCTGTTCGTCCGCTCGTTTGCTTTTGTCTTTATTTACGGCGGCTCTCCCCAACGCATTCTTTATTTACGGCAGCTCTCTCCAACGCATTCTTTATTTACGGCAGCTCTCCCCAACGCATTCTTTATTTACGGCGACTCTCCCCCAACGCATTCTTTATTTACGGCGACTCTCCCCAACGCATTCTTTATTTACGGCGGCTCTCCCCAACGCATTCTTTATTTACGGCGACTCTCCCCAACGCATTCTTTATTTACGGCGACTCTCCCCAACGCATTATTGACTCTCTGCGATCAGATCATCTTGTCTGGTGCATCAGAAACTGAAAAGGACATCACCATCTGAGTTTGGGTTTTATGTTTTATGACCTAAACACAATATCAGAGGACTTTGCAAAGTTCTTTCGAAGCCAAGATCACATCAGGGTGAATCCTGATGCTTATGACAAAGTAACCAACGAAGTCCTTATTTGGTGGAACAAAGCGACTGCCATGCGTCAATGATGGTGCTAGAGTCATTCAATGTGACGGCTACCTCACGTTATGTCAGGTCACTACCTCAGGTCATGTCAGACCACTACCTTCAGGTCATGTCAGGTCACTATCTCAGGTCATATCAGGTCACTATCTTGGGTCATATCAGGCCATCACCACATGTCATGTTCGGTCACTACCTCAGGTCATGTCAGGTTACCACTTCAGGTCATATCAGGTCACTACTTTGGGTCATGTCAAGGCAGATGGTAATCCCATTTCGCTAAGCGCGGGGTGGCATCTCGAACACGAAGGCTATCAGATCGCTCAGCTGGATGCTGCATCAAAGCGTAGGCCAGAATGACTACCCACAAAAAGCCAAACTAGGCCTATGAGACAGACAGCCGGAATTCCCAGAGGAGCCGCGGGTTGACCGGGAAGGCCATCCTCGAGGATCTTCTGGATCGATGGCCTGGATGTCATATAGATGCAGAGCTTCGGTGGTTCGGAAAAGAGCCGTGGAACTGCTGTCAAACGTTTGTGCTATGGCTCTGAAGAGGTCTCTGTGGGGTACTCAGAGTCCACCAGCTTGCGTGTTACATTCCGGCTCTTTCCTCAGCCATCGCCACGAAATGCACATGAACCCAGCATGCACTACCCCAGAAGCAGCTGTATAGCATGAACCGTTTAAGGGGCATTTTTAAATGACTGGAATAATCAAACCGTTGGTTTACCATGTTCCTGGGTTGAGCTAGTTCCCCTGCCCGACCATAGCATGACAAGCATGTGAGAACACAAGTCAGAGAATAGGACTTTCTTGTGCATTTTACTTCTGTTTTTCGACAAAGTAAGAAAAAAAACCTTATTGAGCATAAAAGGCACATTGCTTGCTAAATTGTATGGCGCAAAATTGTGGTCACAACTAGATGTATCGCAGAAAGCTACCTAGGATAGATGGAAGGTGAAGCGAAACCATGATAATTGATTGTTCTTGTTTGACCTCGAAATGCCAAACGAGTCACTGAGCCTACCAAAAGTGACCCGTTTGCGTATATAATGTCATTTGCATGTATATATATATATATATATATATATATATATATATATATATATATGTGTGTGTGTGTGTGTGTGTGTGTGTGTGTGTGTGTGTGTGTATGTGGAGCATCTTTTGCCGAACGCTCCATTGAGATGTGTCGGGGGACAAAAAACTTACAGCTGCTGAAAAAAGATGTTATAAGCTCTCTGAGATTGCATCTAAGTTCCGTGCCTTGGCGTGATCTGAGCCCATTTTAGTGAGCTTGTAAACCGTGCGCCATGAATGCCTCATCTCTGACGCCAAGTTCCGTGACCTTTCCACGTTTTATGCCCCTAGAAATACCGTTTTGGTGTGGTTCCCATCCGCATCTTGATCGGTGAGGCCAAAAAGCTCCACAATCATTTGTCCGTCCCGGTGGCTTAGTTGGTTAGAGCCTCTGCCTTGATGAATGATGGGGTTCAGGACTCACATAACACGCACTGCCTAGCGTGAGCTCTGATCCCAGAAATCCATCCATTTAAAGGGTTCAGACCAAATCTTTATAAAACTTTCTCGTTATCTTCATCATCGGCATGTTTTTGGCACCAGCGTCACCAGCACAGACGGTACGTAACATCAGCGTCACCGGCACAGACGATACGTAACATCAGCGTTACCGGTACAGACAGTACGTAACATCAGCGTCACCGGTACATAAGGCACGTAACATCAGCGTCACCGGCACAGACGGTACGTAACATCAGCGTCACCGGCACAGACGATACGTAACATCAGCGTCACCGGCACAGACAGTACGTAACATCAGCGTCACCGGCACAGACAGTACGTAACATCAGCGTTACCGCCACAGACGATGCGTAACATCAGCGTCACCGGCACACTACAAGGTGGTAGACGTAGAATCACGTCACCGGCCACAGCCATCAGGGCACAACATCGTAACATCAGCGTCACCGGCACACATAAGCGCACCGTAGCATCAGCGTCACCGCGGTCATCAGGACGACGGCCACGTAACCTTCTGTCTTCCTTCTGTTACATGAAGTTCTCTGCCCCGTCCCTTGCATGGATCAGTGATGGTCGGTCCATCTCAGCGGGTCAGACGCGACTACATTCTGTTTCAGTGCGTGTGTGAGTGGAATATGATCCAGTTCTCTCCCAGAACTACTGACGTCATCAAAACCCTTGCTTCTCTTTTTCCGGTGCATGGATCAGTAGAACAAAATTCTGCGCTCCTCCCTACACTACTGACGTTACCACCGCCCCATCTTCGCTCTTTTCCTGTGCATGGGCCAGTGGCATGAAACCCTGCGCACCTTGTAACACTACTGACGTTACAAAAGCCCGTCTCCGTTCTTTTCCAGTACATGGGCCAGTGGTACGAGATCCAGCGCTACCCACAGCTGGGCGAGTCCAGCGAGACCTGCGTCCAGGTCAACTACACCCTGCAGGCGGACGAATCGGTCCGCCTGGAGAACCGCGGCAAGAAACCGGACGGCAGGATCGACGACATCAAAGGCACCGCCACGGTCCCCGACCCCGCCCACCCCGCTGAGCTGCTCGTCGTGTTCGACGAGGGCTTCCGTGGCAGGTCCGCTGTGATGGCTTTATTAAGAGCGCGTGATGCGTCCCGCCGCCTCACGTTTCGTTGAGTGTCAGCGATTGCTGCGGTTGTATAAGTGCCGACCGGCAGTACCAGAGATGTATGATTGCATCCAGCTGGAAGAGTCTTTGCCTCCCTTCCTCCTCACTCGTAGCTCAGCTCGACCAACTTGACAGCGAGCTATTCCAACCCCAGGATTCAATGCACGTGAGTCGAGAGACTATCGGCAGCAACAAAACTAAGGTGCAAAAAAATGTTTTTTTTTCTATTCCATTCGAATCACATCTGTTATGTTCATGGGACCATTTCAACAGCTGTGTGCTGTTCATCATCGCATAGTCGCCAAACATAAATAAGTGCATGGAAAACAAGGCCCTTAATTAGCTTATAAGTTTGCCAGCAATAAAGAAATTAGGTAACCAAATTCAGGAGAGATCAGCTTGTCCGTCTCTGTGAGACCACACACCTGGGCCATAGCTATAGCGGCGTGGGAGTTCAAACCATCGCAACTGTGGTATTCTGCTCGCCCGCTACCTTAACCTTAACCCGCTAACTTAACCTTAACTTTAACCCCGCTAACGCTTCGTACCCAGCGACCTTATTTTCGGTGGGACTTGACCCCGGACCACCCTTGAGGCAGCTGCAGCCTTTCCCAGGTGCTGTGCTGAGCTCGTCCCCGACGTTTGATGGGCGCATCGGTTATCGGAATATGTGGCTGCCTTGACGGCGGTGTCGCTGCCCTATGACGTGATAATTTTTCTGCGCCACGTTGCAGATGGGGATCCCGCCCTCGCCGAATTTAATGCTACGGCTACGTCTATGAGCGCTGACCAAAAAAACACTCTGCCAATCCTCGGACGCTATTCTTTCCCACCTTTAGTCTGCACTGCAGTCCGTGATGCTATGTTATGTACGTGTCGACGTGCTATCACGTCACAGCGTCACGTACGCTTTTTCACGAGGGCCAATGATTAAGCATGAGAGTTCGCAGAGTTCAGAGGCCTGAGTGTGAGCGGAGTTCAGAGGCATGGATGCGAGCGGAGTCAGAGGCCTGGATGTGCGTGGAGTTCAGAGGTCTGAGTGTCTACAGAGTTCAGAGGCTTGAGTGTGTGCGGAGATCAGAGGCTTGAGTGTGGGCAGAGTTCAGAGGCTTGAATGTGAGCGGGCTGTAGAGGCCTGAGTGTGAGAGGAGTTTAAAGGCCTGAGTGTGAGCGGAGTGCAGGGGTGTCAATTTTTGTAAATTATTTGAGGGGGCTAAACCGCAGCCCGACAACCTACCCCTTCATTTTTTCTCACCAGATTAAGTCGACTTTATTGCCATTTGATAAATGGCAATATATGTGTTTGATTTTTGTATAATTTATAAAAGTCTTCAATTTAAGCGGTATAAAAGTCACGGAGGGTTGGATCCAGGGAGCAGGCAGCGGACGACGCGTCTCTTCTGATCTGCACATGAAGGCGCCCCTTTAGATGCCACCATAGGGGGCCGACAACGCTCTTCTTTGATTGTCATGGAAGGCGGCACGCATTTTGGCCGTGGGGAATGGGGACGGGAGTAGTCATGAAGGACTCACTTCATGCCCCACATTCCAGAGCTCTTTGCTTTAACCTCGCAAGCCATTGTGTGTCTTATGCCGCTAGGCATGTGAAGTTTATTGCATCGTTTATCCGCTCAGCTGTCACGATTTGTATCCTGTGGTGAGAGCAGCCCTGGCTTTTTGTTACGAGAGTGGTACGAGAAGCCACTACGCGGAAAGATCAAAGAAGATAGTCTTTATGCTATGATCGTCTTTTACCCACGTTTGTTGTAGTATTCCCGCCAAAAATATTGTGAGGGCAAGCCAACATTTGGGGGGGGGGAGCAGCTTGACATTGGGGGGTCAGGGCCTTCACAAAAGAATACAAATCGACACCCCTGGCGGAGTGTAGAGGCCTGAATGTGACCGGAGTTCAGAGGCCTGATTGTGAACGGAGTGTAGAGGCCTGAATTTGAACGGAGTTCAGAGGTCTGAGTGTGAGCGGAGTTCAGAGGCTTGAATATGAGCGGACTGCAGCAGTCTGAGTGTGAGCGGAGTTCAGAGGCCTGAGTGTAAGCGGAGTGTAGGGTCCTGACTGTGAGCGGAGTCCGGAGGCCTGAGTGTGAGCGGGGTGTAAAGGCCTGAGTGTGAGCGGAGTGTAGAGGCCTGAGTGTGAGCGGAGTTAAGAGGCCTGAGTGTGAGCGGCTTGGTGCTCCGTCCCACGCATTACGACGCTAGCGGGCACAAAGGCAGGTCGCTGGATTATTCATCGGCATACGCAGCAGTTATTTCGATCAACGTCGCAGTTTCCCAAACCGGTTCACGCAGCGGGACACTGAATTTTGCATGCTCTGCGCGGTATTTGAACCCGGAATCCTGCTTAGCAAACCGGAAGCGAAAGAAAAGGCGCACTTTTGAGTCAGATCACTTCATATCATTTGAGCTTTCTGGTCACATGGTTTGAGAGCAATTCCCTCGACATGTTAGTGATTTTTATTTTTGGAGCACTTAGTTGCTTCCTCGGAACGTCCTGACATATTTTCCTATGCAAACAGAGCTCGGCACACATAAGCGAATCTGCACGTGCTACAGGAGTGAAGGGGGATTTGGTGCATCTTACATCCTACAGTTCACCATCTCTGGAGATGTCTGCAGCCGAGGGAGTTCAAACCCCTTGACCTTCACGAGATTCAAAACTGAACAGTAACGCTTCGACGCCCACTGCCGCTTCTTGACGGACAAAGGCAACGGACCACCATGCGAGGAGAAGCACAGTTACTCCTACAACTTCTCCACGATGCTGTCGTGCTCTCGTATGCCTAATTCCTAAATGATCGCGGTCAGGAACACACCATGGCTTTTAAAAGTGCGGGAGTGAGATCAATCAGGGTACATTAGACTGATACATTTTTGTTTCGCTTGGTGTAAGGAACCGTCTATGGTAAGAAGTGAAAGAATCCTCGGCCCAATTAGGATTTTTCTCCCCCCCCCCCCCCGCCCCTGGACCACGCGTGCGATTGCAGGCGTCCCTTCCCAACACATGATGGTAAAACCCCTACTGCCACCATTCTAAACGAACCTGACTCAACCCTTACCTAACCTAACCTAACCTAACCTAACCTAACCTAACCTAACCTAACCTAACCTAACCTAACCCAACCTAACCTAACCTAACCTAACCTAACCTAACCGTAACCTACCTAACCTAACCAAACCTAACCTAGCCTAACCTAACCTAACCTAACCTAGCCTAGCCTAACCTAACCCAACCCAACCTGCCTAACCCACATACACGCCTCAAGCTCAAGGCCCGAAGTGCAAAGCATGTAATGCACTCTTACTCTCTCCGGACAGTTACAACGTGATCCGGACAGACTACGCGCAAGCGGCGCTGATCTACACGTGCCGCGCGCTGGGTCCCCTCCTGCTGGAGAACGCGTGGATCATGTCGCGAGAGCCGGTGCTGGACCAGGACCTGGTGGAGGCGTACCGGAAGGTGCTGGCCGACGGTGGATCAGACATCTCGCAGTTCTCCGTCACGCCGCAAGACTGTGGTGACATCTTCTGAGGTAGGGGCCGGTTTGATGTCGGCGATTCGAAGAAGGAGCCATTAAAGGGTTCGAGTCTCTCCGACTTAGCGCGTTTTCTCTCGTTGACCACGTGCTGCGGTGGTGTGATTGTGTTGAATACAAACTCTTGGATGAAGACGTATCTAACTGTTTAGTTTGGTCTAGCCGCAGCCTTGCTCCAATTGGCCGCACCGACAAATCAGCGCTCAGCACACAGGCGATCTCCTTTCCGAGGAAATCTGCCCAAGACGGAAGACAGACCGACGCCATTGCCACCAAACATGTCTGAGAATTTTCAAAAATACTCCGGCATAAACAAATGCAAGGCATGCAGAATTATCATGATTATTTGCAGCTACGCAATGCATTTTTCAGTAAACATCGACGCTAAACAACAAAGCAGGCATGTACTTTTTCTCCTCCCAGATGGGACTGCATCTTGTCAGAATGACGAAATTTTTGGATTGCCCAAGTTATCGTGAAATGGCTACTACGTGCCGCATTGGTATTTGTAGAGCCACAGGGAGGTTGTCCATTTCCAGCCAAATAAATTTTCATGATAAATCTGTCCACCAATCAGACGGCGCGTGTCGACGGTGACGCTCGAAGCGAGTATTCCAGTTGGTACAACTGCATTATTCCGAACTGGTCTGGTGCAGCACCCCAGCCACATTAACCTGGTGACGTCGCCTGCACCGTCTGACGTCACAGGGGTAACGTCAGCTGCACTGTCTGGCGTCACAGGGGTGACGTCAGCTGCACTGTCTGGCGTCACAGGGGTTTCACCAAATGGACAGCACTTGACGTCTAAGAAAACAAAACAAAAGCTCAGCGGTACGTGTTGGAGGATCAGCGGCATGGTTGAATACTTTGGCAACAGCAGACCACCAACCAATCAATTGAATGCCCCCGCATGGGCAGTTACAAGCTAATCATCAGTAGTTCGTGGCACAATTAGCTGCCTACAATTTAGCGGCACCAAACTTACGGCACATAGACGTACACTTGAAAAGCAGAAACGCTCCATAGGTGATTCTATCCAACCATCAGACCATCCAGCTATACTAACCATCTAACCATCTGACCATTAACGGTATATTCGCGGAAAATTCTAAGCAAAAGCAGTGATAGTCTTCACTCCAATAAATTATCAGTCATTACCTTTGCAAGTTCAAAAAAGAGCAGCGCTAGCTCTCCTTCAACGATGTCCTTGCGTCGGAGGACGAGAGTGCCTCCCGTCCTCCCGTCCTCCGGGAGTGCCTCCCATCCTCCCGTCCCCCCGGGAATGCCTCCGTCTTCCCGTCCTCCGGGAGTGCCTCCCGTTCTCCCGTCTTCCTGGAGTGCCTCCGTCCTCCCGTCCTCTGGGAATGCCTCCCATCCTCCCGCTACCCGATCGTCACTCGGGCATTCCTCGAGTCGACCCATGAACAACTTTACTCCCGGTAGTGTATGGACTCAGTGTTGGCTCTGTGTGCTAGCCAACCATTCAGTAACTGGAAGGAATATGTATCGGCCAGTACACGCGAGACAGGTGTAAACCGTACATGCGTCTTAAAAGGAGCATCCCACCTTTTCTATTTTTCAATTATTGTTAAATCAGTCACGTACAATTTGATCAGTATTACTAATTGTCTCGAAATCCTTCCGTATAACTCAGAATTTCAAGTTGAAGTAGCGGCTACTGCGGGAGAAGCCTCATGTGAGTGCCTGCTCAATTCTGTGAAAGTAATGCATTTTATTTATCTTGTTTCTCCAACGTGTGTGTTCTGCAATGTTTGCAGCACACTACTTCATCGAAATGTTTGTGCAATAAATGCTACGTAAGGTTGACGAACGCAGTCTAGATCAAATGCATGCAAATACGAGGCTATTATTCCGCGAATTCAACAAAACGTTACAACATGGCTCTGATTCCTCCCTTACATAGCGTTTACCACAGTGGCTGCTTTCGAAGCGCATTTTGACTTTGAGGATGGGAGTATCACATGGTGCATAGCGACGAACTTGCCGTCCGCTGGGCCAATCACAAACGTTCTTTTGTGCGCGCATTCGCACCAGGAAATGTGCGAACGACCGTTGTCATGACGACGGTGGTCGCGATTGCAGGCAAGAAACGTAATGCTGTTACAAAGCGTCGGCAGCGCCACTTGGAATCGAAAACAATGAAAATTGATGTCCTCCTAATATCTGGACGTTGCTGCAGTGGCACTACGCAGTGCTTTTACTAGACTAACGGTCCAAAGGTTTCACTAGAGCGTGTTTTTGAAATATGTCCCAAAGGTGGGACACTTCCTTTAAAGAAGCCGCATGCCAGGAGTGTCAAGAAAATATGTAATTTGCACTAGCCTGGCCCTACCCTTTCTTCGCACAGCGCTGACACTCCGAAAGGTGGCGAGCAACACCGGATCAGCTCTGAGTTATCAAATTATCCGCCGCAAGTCCGCCAACAACATTCAGAATTCCTGATTTCGTCATGTGCGCTTGGATTGCTGAGTTCATGACAGCATTTTGTTAACAGTGCCAGACCATCGTTGAGTCGTGAAACCATCTTCGAAGATCCCCAAATGCGATTTTTCTTGAGCGATTTCGTGGTTAGAGCGTGACTTTTGCGCAATTACGCCCCATACTGGATTCTCCCTTGGTTCGCCTGTGAAGAGTGTCATTAGTTTCCGGCGACCTTGGCGTGAGGGTCGACACTGCACAGCGGCTGTTTGGCCAGAAACCAACAGGTGATTGACTTCCCACTCGGGCTCCCGAAGGTTGCGTCGGAGCGATGGCGAGAAGACGCTGAGCAGGAATATGGCAGCGTACTGAGAATTGCCTGCGCAGCTGGAGACCAAGCGAGAACTATGCGTCGAGAACGTGGTCGAGGCTCGGGATATCAGGGACGGAGCCGCGGGGCGAGCGTGGTTACGTGCCATTCTAGACGTTACGAAACAGACACTGACTGTGAGGCCAGAGGCCAAACAGAGCATTGCTTGCTGATCCCAGGCCCACACAGAGGGCTATGTATACAGCTCGGGCGCCTACGCACTGTGTGTACTAGCTTCCACCTCACCTAAAACAGGACTGTACGTGCTGCTTGGATCGGGACATATGGCGGCATCCTCACGGGGGACAGTTATTGGCACGCGCCGTGAGAAGGACGTTACGAGCTTCAGAGAACCCTCCGAGCATTATTCAATGCATAAGGCGTCGCGGGAGATGTCGCCCTCTGATCCGCCCTCATTCACTCGGCACAAATAACGGATGTTGGGTGGTGTATCGCGTTGACATATGGTCATGCTTTTTATCCTCGGATATTAATCCTGCTATACAAAACTTTCAGCAGAAAATGGGTATTAAGGCTGCAGTTTCACCATGCCAGAAGTTGTTTAACAACATATTTGACCTGCGGTTATCACGCTTAGGCGCTGGTTGTGAGCGGCCTATTGATCACCTTGAAACAGATGGCAGGGCTCATCAGTGAGTCAATATGATTGATTTTAACTACGATAGGAATTAGAAACAAAAGCTAGTGCGTCACACCTGCCTGAAATGCTTGGAACTTCGGAATACTGCAACGGGTCTGGGAATATTTCAGACAGGCGTATTATCCTCGGGAGAGGTGTCGTAACTTACGACAAACGAGGGGGTCGGGTAAGCTTACCCCAAACTTCTGCATGCCGGGGGTGACCCGTCCATCCCCCTGCTCTGTGTTCTTCTTTCTCATTCGACAAGGCCTTTCAGCTAAAGAGCCGAAATTTGGTGAATTCGCCTGGCTAACACTGCGACACATCCCGACCTCGCTTTTGCACCATGTGTTACTTGTGTACCTTGCTATGTGTTACTTGTATATGTACCTTAGAGCCCAGCTTCAGGCGTGTGGCGTGGCAGACATGTGTGTTCCTAGCTTCAGACGTGTGGAGTGGCAGATGTGTGTTCCTAGCTTCAGACGTGTGGGGTGGCAGATATGTGTGTTCCTAGCTTCAGACGTGTGGCGTAGCAGACATGTCGAGACATGTGTGCATGGGTCATGACGGTCGATTTAGGAGCATGCATCGGCAGATTGCTTCCCACCACTGAATGTGAATGTTTGGCTGAAGTAAGCCTTCATATCATCAGGTATGACAGTGAACATTTGCCACATCTATTCAAGACTTTGGATCGCCATAAGTGGGTATAAGCGAACACAAAAGGAAGGTGAGCATTACGTGATAAGTTGCAATACGTTAAAAAGTGGGTCCACATCAGCAAGCTTTTGTTTGAAATCTCACGCGATTGGTCGGGCCGATTCCGGAATCTCGGGTTGGGATCGACCAACTAGGAATTTCAAGCTAAGCCAACCCCAATAAAGAGGATTAATGCCAATGAAAATGTCGTATTTTCGAGCACGAACACTTATGTTTTTGACTGGCGTATGTCTTTGAATCCACTGTCAGCATTGCCGCACAGTTTTCAACAAGCCATACAACTGTAAGAATACCTGTTCTGCATCAGGTCGTCTACAGGTAAGTGGTCGCATCAGGCGCGGTTTTTCCATAGCACTTCAGTGCCCCCAAAATTCATCCTTTTCCATTCCACTCACGTAGCAGAAAACAGGCCAGAAATTAGGGAAAGCTGAAGAACACGTGTCGCGATCGGGTACTGACCCCGCGTGACCTGATGACCCCGGTCACAAAAACACGAGACTGGCGCCGTGTGATGGAGGAGAAAACGGACAATGCCAACGAAAAAAGTGTGAGCGTTTATGTGCAATAAGTCGCACAGGTCTCTTACACGCACTCGAGCCAAAAGCACTGATCTACCAGTCTGGGGGTATTTTTAGAGACGATTGCCAGATATCGGTAGCCATAGAAAATAAGACGCCTGCATGGTGTAGATGGCCATACCTTTTACAGACCACTGAGCGAGTCTAACATTGCCTGGCAGCAAAAAAACAAAAAACAGAAGTAATGCCAGCAGTCAATACGAAAGCGTGTTATAATGCGTGCTGAAGATCCGGTCTTGGTGGGGCCTATACCACTGCGGGACTCGGTCATGAGCACGACACAGGTCCATGCTCCCTTTGCTCGGGTTTTGATGCATGACACACTGGTGGATAGCTCAAGCCTATTGTAATTCGACGAATAATAAACCGACGAAATTCGCTTATTGGCATCATACTGGTGGAATGCTGTTTTGCCCTATCATTGGTCCAAAGCTAAGGGGATGCGTTTCGTTTTCGTTATCAGTCGTCGTGGTGCTGTTCTGCGCTATCATTGGTTGAAAGCTACGAGGATTCGATTCGTTACAGTTACCAACCGTGGTGGTGCTGTTTTGCGCTATCATTGGTCTAAAGCTATGAAGATGCGTTTCGTTGTGTTTATCAATCGCGAACCAGATGCCATCATCTCTTTGT